TGTGCGAACAGGGCAGGATTACAGCTGGTCAATATAGGATCCTGCAGATCTGTGCTGTGCTTTTTCTATAGTCCTCACTACCCCATGCTCACTCGAGCAGCAGGACTTTGTGCAATATGACTACTTAACTGGGAGAAGGAAGTTCATGTTTAGTGCCAACCATTTAATATTCAGTATTTACCAGTTTTTGTGTGTGACATTCCCTGACCACCCTCTTCAGCCTACTCAATGATGAATTGTTCTTTTTATACCACATGTGTGTTCTCTTCGGCCTACAAGTATTCCCAAGCCTCTCATGAGTTGTTGCCAGCAGAACATTCAGCTGAACAGCTGGGTATGAGCTGGTTTCCCAGCCCCTGTCTTGTGACTCTGTGAGCAATGGCAGGCCTGGAGCTGTGGTTTGTTTGACTGAAGCACGATGCTCGTCTTTCCCCAGTTCATGCAACGCGGCCTGGACGCAGAAGTCAAGAAGCAGCTGGAGGAGGAAGAAAAGAGGATAATCAGCGATGAACACTGGTACCTCGATTTGCCAGAGCTCAAGGCCAAGGAGTAAGTCCAGCTTTTCACCCGTCGCGGGGTTTTCAGTTCAGGAGCTCTGGATCCTTATCCTCGGTGCCCCAGGACCGTTTGATACGTCGGTAAAATGAAATATTCGGAGGAGGGGGTCCTGCGTGGCTCAGCGAGTAAAAGCACAAACTCCAGGCTTCAGCTGAGCCCTCCAGCCCGGGAGTGTTAATTCGAGCCTGGCTCAGTCAGTAGCCGATGGTGACAAGGGGATCTTCCCGAGCGGCGGGGCACTGTCGGTTGAGCCCCGCGGGTGTGGGGTGAGGATCAGTGTATTGGGGGTCCTCGTGGCGGAACAGCTCTGTGCTCTCCTGCGCCTTGCCAGTACCCTAGTGACTCACTCCTCTACATCCACTGCCAGGCACTATGACACTTACAGCCGATCAGGTGCCAGTCAGCTCTGACAGATAAGCGTGCTGGAACAGCAAACCTAAATGTCTCATTCTCTCCCAAGTTAGCTACAGGAGTCTGAGCTAGTGTGGCTCTTCTGGTGTGGCTGGGGGGGTAGAATTGCCAATCACACACTTTTAAAAAAAAGTATAACATCACTTTATTATCCCTATACAATTTCTTGCATCAGGAATTTGTCTTTTCGCAGACCCCAGCTTGCTCTCCATGAGACGCACAGACAGGGAGAGAAGCTTGGGGTCAGAGCGCAGGGTCAGCTATTGTACAGCTCCCCTGGAGCAGTTGGGGTGAAGGGCCTTGCTCAGGGACCCAACGGAGTAGGATTCCTCTTCCAGCTGTCAGATATGAACCGGCAGCCTTCCAGAATATATATTGCTATATTGCTACAGGGAATACCCAACTTCCAAGCTGCAAAATAACCTATTTTAAAATAACCTGGGTATTATAAAAACTGAGATTATTTATACATTATGTGATGAAGGAAGTCAAACCTGATGTATTTTTTTTCTGTAGTAACCATCACATGTATCCTTGAAACTCGTGCACAGGTACCTGAAATACATCTCTTAACAGCCTCAGCAAGCAAATGTGGTGCTTTTGATTACAGGACCAGCATGTAAAGGGGCATTTCAACTTTCATTTTGGAATCTGTGTGAGACATGAGAGAGTTACATTAGGAACTGACATTTTTATTTTCTTTCTTAATTCATTCAAAAAAATGTACCTCACGCAATTCAAGCAGCAGAGCTGTTACGAGGCAGTTTGTAGCGCAGTTTTTGTACTAAATTCCAAACCAGGTTTGTGCTGAACATAAAATAGACTTTCATCTGCAGTGTTACAATATGCAGATGCATTTAACACTTTAAAAAGTTATCTAATTCTAAGATTTGAGTACATTTTTGTAAGTCTGTGTTCCAACTTGAGCATGTACTGTTTTTATAGGAATTTCATCATAGAAGAAAGAAGTTTTGTGCCCTGTGAAGAGCTGATATATGGCAGAATGTCATTCGGAGGCTTCAATCCAGAAGTTGAGGTAAACTTAAACTTATCTAAAAAAATATTTGCAACATGTTAGCAGTTTTATTTGTGATATGATGCTAATTGTGTTAATTCCAAAGATATTTTTGTTTTCACACCTGTGTCAGTAAAGTAAACTCAACCCCCATTTGTTTTCTCCCAGAAACTCATGGCAGCGATGAAGTCCCGAAGCACAACAGAGGAGGATGAAGAAGCTGACAAAATGGAGGCTGACGTCTCCGACGAGGAGATGGCTCGGAGGTAAGGAGTGCGCCAGAACATCTTAATCCTTGTTTTCAGATGCGATTTCCAAGAGATTTTCGAATTCACGCCAGGCCAATTTTGGAATTCCTTCTTGTTTTAAGGCTGAACCCCCTGTAGCACATAGAAATAGACAGACCCGAGCACAGTGCTTCTCTGCCTGTCTTCAATAAGAGCCTGTTATCCTCAAGGGCTTATGCTGGAAGATGCATCTTTGGGGTTTTGCTAAATTCAGCTTAGAATGGGTATGTAAAAACAGTCAAACCCACACCAGAGCCAGAGGAGCTCATCCTGGGGTCTGTAACACTAAGTGCACTAGAGAGAACCTGACTCCCCTGGCCCATCACAGGGGTGACCCCCCGACAGGATTGATCTTCACCTACACGGCTGTAAAGACTGAGAGCTGGGGTAAAGTACCTCGCTCGTGGTACGAGAGCAGTGTCTGCAACAGGGACTCGACCCCACAACCTGCCAGTTATGACCACAAAGGGTACCCACTATACTATACTGCCCTAATGGAATGGGTATGAAAAAGAAAAAAATATAATTGGCAGTATTACAAAAGTAAGGTAAAATGCGAATCTTAAGTGAAAAGCAAATGACCAGCGATGTTCGTTTATAGTTAAATACTGGTAAAATGGTAGTTCCATTTTAAACCTGACAAGTTTTACTTTCTGCACAGCAAACAGCTGGAGCTGTATACATGCATCTGTATGCTCTTGCTGTAAGCTGTGTAATGCATGCAGACTACAGGGCTTATTTAACTTGCTAAGGTTTAGCTCTCCCAACTGGATATTGAAGTCGGAGCACAATGGCATCACAAAAAACAAAAGGGGGATTTCTGGTGTATTTAAAGAAAAGGGTTGGTGTTCATAAATGCCAGTTTAACAAAAACAATTTTGGTCTTTGATAAACCTGCACATTGTTTACGTACACTATTGTAAGCAGTTGCTTAACTGTCTCTTACCCTGCAGATATGAGACGTTGGTGGGGAGCATAAAAAGAAAATTCACTAAAAAGAGAGACCGATCAACGATGCCAGAAGACAGAACCAAAAACATCAGCGAGCCCAGAGCCAAGAAGACTTTCCTAAAACCCCAAGACTAAGGCTTTTCCTTTTCATTTTTTATTTAGATATTCACAAGCAGAATTGCTAAGATCTGTTTGTAAAAGTCAGTTTCTGTGCAGTACTGATCAAAGGAAGCAGGCGAGAGCCTTGTTTTTTTTATAGTGGCGTAGAGTTTAATCTGAATCGAGTATTTGAGTTATGATTGAGCACTGTTGTTGCAGCAACAGATGGGGGTGCTTGTTTGCTGTTTTTAAAAATGGATGTTATACATCCTACTTGTCAAAATATAGAACCCATGAGTCATTAATGTTTGTACAACACTTGTAAGTTCTTGCATCATATAAAGACCTTTTATAAAGGTCTTTAGGACCGTCATCTTCAGTACGTTCTTGAATAATTTGCTCACATGGCTGTCTGTGATTAACCAGTTCCTTGTGTATTTTAATATGAAAGTTTCTGACAGTTTTCCAGTCTGTTTTTTTTTCCTTTGTGACTTTGCCTTTTAGGACTTTCAACATTTGAACACAGTTCTCTGTGCGTTTGTTACTCATTAAAGGAAAATGGAATTGGAATATGAACTTCAGACAAAATCTTTTCTTTTAAAGCAGCATTTTTAGTAAAAGAACTTTACAAAAGCCCGCAGTGGTAGTTTTTTTTGTGCTTTCTAAAATTTTATTAGAAACTTAGTGTTTATTCTGTTTGTCCAAAAATATTCTTTAAAATTAAATTTACATATTCTAGATAATTCATTTCTTTCTTGTTTATCACATTGTCGTCATAAAAGATTTGTTTTTGCTTTTCTAAACTCATGGTTGCAAATAAACTGGACTTTTAAGAGAAGGATTTTCTTTCTTGATAGACAACAGTTGTATTATATTTTTTATTGTTTTACTTAAATCCTTTTTTAATAGTTACAGCCTAAAAGATTTTTAAAATTGTATCTTTTTAATCAAAAGCAGGAGAATAAAGTACCATATTGTATAGTACAATTAGCATTACCCTGATTGTTATAGACAGTTGGTAATCTACAAACCATCAGCCTTTAGATCTGAGAACCTAAGCAAGGTTGGATCTGGAATCTGGGATCACTGCAATGGGTGGTGTTGATGGACCAATGGTTCACTCTTCACTCTTCCCTCTGTGTGAGAATTTGCAGAGCAGAGGGACACTGTGCTGCATGAGGTGTCGTCCTTCAGATGTGGTGTTAAACCAAAGTTATGACTCTTGTCCATTAAAGATCCCATGGTGACTTCTTGAATGGGAAGGAGGTGTTGATCCTGTTGTCCTGGCTAAATTTTGATCTGGGCTTATACAGTCTAGCCTTGCAAAAGTTCCCCGTTAATTGAGGCTGTGAGTAAACTTCTCATTTCTGTGCCTGTTCTGGCATGCACCCAGGTGACTGCTGTGCTTAAGGTGAGGATGAAGAGGGTCTGTGTGAAGCACTTTCAGATCCTTTTGTGAGAAATCGCTACTGGTCCTTCTTTCCCTGTACTAAGGGAGACTCCTAAGTCTCAACAGAGACATGAAACTGCTATATAACTATTACACAAGCACTGGCTAAAGGAAAGGCCTTTTAGGAATAATTATTGGTATAAGTCTGGTCTATGGAACTTTTTAAGGGAAGAAAATTAAGTGCATGTGCAGACCTTTTGTGCTAGGCTCAGAGTGCCTTAGCATCTTGTGCTGAATGATAAGATTTGTACAATAGCAGTGCTTTAACTTGCACTAAATATACAAATTATGCTGTTCCAAAGCAGAGTATAAGAAAGGAACCATTTAAAAGCAGGCAGCATGGGCCATTTTTCCTATAACAAGTTTCAGCAAACTAAAAGTGATTATGCCAGTATACCATTAACCTTAGTTAATCATGGCAAACATTGATCATTACCCCCAGATGTGAATTTGCAGTGACGTAATGCTTAATCTGTTCTTGCTACTCTTGAAGCAAACACCTACACCAGTGGAGACACCAAGAAGCTCTTCAAAATTTAACTTGAAGATGGCAATTTTTTTCCATCCAGTTTTTTTTTTCATCTTGAAATGTTTGAAGACCGTAATGCTCACTTCTATTGTACCTCTTAGAGAGTGAGACATAATTTGTTGTTGACTGAAGCCAGTTGGTGTTCCAGAGCCACACCAAACTTTTCTTTTAGTACTTCTTCCACTTCTTCATCTGGGATGGTGGACATCTCATAAAGGTCATGCCCTTCCTGGTAGTTATAGATGACCTCACTGTATGTCCAGCCAATCACAGCTCGAAACCCAGTGTCTGTCTGCAGGGAGCAGATGGACTTGTTGGTGAACAAAGAATCTGGGGAGGTCTGGAGGTGTTCGGTCGTTTGCAGGAAGTGATCGATACTGCGAGGTGCCAAGGTGAAACAATAGATTGTCTTTGTCAGAGCCTTGTCTAGTAAGGAGGAGCTGACAAAACTTTTGTTTGGTATAAGAATTTTTCTTCCAGTTTTAAACAAGACCCAGGTACCTTCATGCTCTACAAGTTGAAAAAGACCAGGAAGCTGAGGCTGCCCTTTTCCTGAAATCAGTTCGAGTGGCTCCCAGATTTGGCAGGACACACCAAAGCTCACATCTGCTATGTAAGGCTTCCCAGCAATGATCACTTTGTTAATGAGGTGTGACTCCGTGGGGCTGTATTCTTTGGTTAAGCTGTTAAACACCTTCGCTCCGAGCATCGTGGTGTCATATCCCAGCTCTTTCAAGACCCAGGAGAAGAGCAGGTTATTCTCACAGCACCAGCCCCCTCGACCTCTTCTCACAATCTTGTTGAAGATGGTGTCCAGGTCCATGGTGATCTTCTCCCCACAGTGAATGCTGAGGTTTTCAAATGGGACGGACAGGATATGGCACCTGTGAATGGTGTTCAGTGTCTCCAGGTCTGGTTTTTTGAAGGGACCACTGTAGCCAATCCTCTCGAAGTACTCCCTCAGATTCATCATGTCGTGCTGAGAAAATGAGTGTTAAAACTACAGTGTTAAAAGACAGTACCTGGTAAGACAGACATTTTTGGTGATCTCATTTAGTTCTGCTTTGAAGTTTGACTACAATGCGCTGGAAATCGATGCTCTTGCCTAACCTGTTGCCATATGTAAAAACTGAAAAAATTAACATTTCATCTGCTGCACATGCAAATTATCCAACTGCAAACTAAGATAAGACCTGTCAAAAACTGTATATAGTTTTATCTAATAACAGTTTGACAGACCCACAGAACAGTCCATAAAGGGCAGGATTGGTAGAAGGATGGGGTTATGAAGAGGATTATATGGGAGGGCACAGTACTTTGATTCAAATCCAGTCAGTAGGAAAAAATCCTTTCATTAAACATTTGTTATTAAAGAGGTTAACAGAGCAATCAGCAGCTATATAATTATTTTTCATCTTGCTAGATATTAACCTTTATATTTGCACATTGAATTTAAGGGAATGGGCAGTGAAATTGTGCTCTAAATCATTAAGGTTGTAATTGTTTAGAATGACTTATTTTTCTCTGCAAAGCTACTGAAGTTTATAGCATGACATGACATCGCTGTAATGTTCTCCCCAGCAGGTGCACTGTGGGCAGCGCTAATAGTGCGACATCACAGCCAGCTGCATTTTGGCTGTCGGGCAGCCATGGAAGCGAATCGCCTGGAGTCCCTGAGCAGGTGGAACAGGTTTACGGCCGTGCCCCAGCGAGGTGTGGTGTACTGTAAAGACTTGGACCCGAGAAGGCTTGGGCTTCGGGCCTTGTGTTTTGACACGGAGCCCCTTCAGATC